AATTAAAGTGATGTTCAACGAATACCAAGATTTGTGTTTCTCGTTTTAACAAATCATATTTATAAATATCCTGGAGTTATTTTAGTGCAGGTTTATTTTTATTTTACACTTAAAGGGACTGTAAGCGAAATTTCAAATGACCCTCCATGCAAAGATGGCAATGCCCGGGCTCACAACGGTACCCTTGAAACCTTTATCTGATCAATAATGTGGGAAGATGGTTTCTTACAGAAGAAATGCGCAGGAAACTTTTACAGAGAAACCACAATTGAAAACAATAAGTTTTCAAACTTATAAACATAGATATCTAATTCTTACTTGATCAGAAAAAGTTTTAAAGGGTACCGTTGTGATTTTAACAGTGTCATCTTTGCATGTAGGTTCACTGGAAATTACGCTATCAGTTCCTTTAACTAAGTTAAAAGAAAAGCTTGAACCAAAGCCATGGATTTTATATTTTAAAACATAAACTTAAATTTTCCTACGACAAAGAATACCTGGAATAGATCATCTCCAAGAGTTAAAATGCCAGGCAAACATTTCAATATCTCCAGATTCTTCTCTTCCAGGGAGAGAAGTTTAAACTCTTCAAACAAGATCATTTTGGGTTTCGAAATCTAGAAAAATTAGATTTTGAAACGATATTATAGAAGAACAAGAGAAAAATTCAGGCTGAGAAAATGATTTCATTTAAAGGGACTGTTAAGGAAAATGAAAGGGGGTATAGGCAGAAACCTAAGCACTTTAGGAGTTGATCGAGACCTATAAGAGTTCTATCTCATGTTCCTGTCTCAAGAAATTGAAATAAAACTGTGTCAAAGTTATACCAAAACTTAAATATATGAGGTTTGGTATAAAAATCTAAATTTTAAACAGATTATATTCAGCAAATACGCAACCAATCTGAAAACTACACAGTTTTATATTAATTTCTCGAGGCTGGAACATCAGAAAGAACTATTATAGGTCTCGATCAACTCCTAAAGTGCGTAGGTTTTAGCCTATACCCCCTTTCAATTTTCCTTAACAGTCCCTTAAAGAATGATTAAAGTAACCCTGTGAAAGTATATGAAAACTGAATCAAAATAACAGATCAGATTTTACTAAACACAGAACAGAAAGTAAAAATTAAATAAAATTAAGAAAACAGAATTCTCAAGAAATTGAAATAAAACTGTGTCAAAGTTATACCAAAACTTAAATATATGAGGTTTGGTATAAAAATCTAAATTTTAAACAGATCATATTCAGCAAATAGCAACCAATCTGAAAACTACAATAACCCAGATGAGCCTGAATAGATTAGGTTTGATCCTATTATATTTTTTATTATTTTAAATTGTAATAGATATAATTCAAACGCCTGTATCACGTGACCAATATTTCCCCCAAAGGCAGTGCAGTATCATTGTGACGTATCTCCATCTGTATCACGTGACGATGATACTGCACTGCCATTGGTGGAAGTTTTAGTTACGTGACACATCGTATCAATTATATTTTAATTATATCTATAAAAAATGGAAATTTATTAAATTCAAATAATAATAGGAGCAAACCTAATGTTAAATATCCGAAAGGTACCCCCATAAAAGGGGGTAATCAATATCCTAGTTATAGTTATCAAAGAACGCACCAAGAAAAGAACAAAATAGTTGAACATTTCTATTACAAGTGAAACAAACATAGTTATACAAAATAATAAACTAAATTAGCGATGTAGATTTTCCTGTGCAGATCTTTGTTGAACCCATGGCTGTTACTAAGAATCCTCTGGGTTATCGTAGTTTTCAGATTGGTTGCGTATTTACTGATTATGATCTGTTTAAAACTTAGATTATTATACCAAATCTCACATATATAAGTTTTGGTATAACTTTGACACAGTTTCATATGAATTTCTCGAGACAGGAACATCAGATAGAACTCTTATAGGTCTCGATCAACTCCTGAAGTGCGTAGGGTTTAGCCTATACCCCCTTTCAATTTTCCTTAACAGTCCCTTTAAGAATGATTAAAGTAGCCATGTGAAAGTATATGAAAACTGAATCAAAATAACAGATCAGATTTTACTAAACACAGAACAGAAAGTAAAAATTAAATAAAATTAAGAAAACAGAATTCACTGAATTAAGAAATAATAGAAGGTAACCGCAATCCCAAAAAGAAAAGATTTGAACTGAATATAGAAAGGATAGATCTGAATTGACCCTTAAAAGGAATATTGAACTGAATCCAGAAAGAATAGATTCTAACTGAATCCAGAAAGGATAGAACTTAACTGAATCCAGAAAGATAGATTTGAACTGAGTATAGAAAGAATATGATTGAACTGACCCTTAAAAGGAATATTGAACTGAATCCAGAAAAAATAGATTCTAACTAAATCCGGAAAGGATAGATTTGAACTGAATATAGAAAGAATAGAACTGAACAGACCCTTAAAAGGAATATTGAACTGAATCCAGAAAGAATAGATTTGAACTGAATCCAGAGAAATTAGAACTTAACTGAATCTAAAAAGGATAGATTTGAACTGAATATAGTAAGAATAGAACTGAACTGACCCTTAAAAGGAATATTAAACTAAATCCAGAAAGAATAGAATTTTACTGAATCTTGAAAGGATAGATTTGAACTTAATATAAAAGGATAGAACTGAACTGACCCTGAAAAGGAATATTGAACTGAATCCAGAAAGAATAGATTCTAACTGAATTCAGAAAGGATAGAACTTAACTGAATCTAGAAAGGATAGATTTGAACTGACCCTTAAAAGGAATATTGAACTGAATCTAGAAAGAATAGATTTGAACTGAATCCAGAAAAGACAGAATTTAACTGAATCTAGAAAGGATATATTTAAACTGAATCTAGAAAGAATAGATTTGAACTGAATCTAGAAAGGATAGATTTTAACTGAACCAAGATAGGATAGAATCTAACTGAATGTAGAAACGATACATTTTAACTGAACCAAGATAGGATAGAATCTAACTGAATATAGAAACGATGCATTTTAACTTAACCGTAAAAGAATATAATTGAATTGAGAAAAGATAGATTTGAACTGATACTTGATATAATAGATCTGAATTGAACCTTAAAAGGATGAAATTGAACTAAATCCCCCCCCCCCAAAAAAATTGAACTGAATCATAAAATGAATAGTTTTGAACTAAACCCGGAAAAGATAAAATTGAACTGAATCCCAAAAGAATAGATTTGAATTAAACCGTAATAGTATAGAATTGAACTGAACTAAGATAGGATAAAATTTAACTGAATCTAGAAAAAAAACTGAACTGGACATGTGAAAAATAAAATTGAACTGAATTCCCAAAAAGATAAAGAACTGAAACTAGAAAGAATAGATTTGAACTGAACCGTAAAAGGATAGAATTTAACTGAACCTGGGAAAGACAGATAATCTACTCTATTATTGAAAGATTAAGTCACGAAAGAGCGGAGAAGGAGGCTTAGTCTAGCATTGACGCGGGATCCAAAATATCGATTTTTAAAATCAGGTCGGAAATATCTTCTCTTCATATCCATTAATTTCTACTCGATTTAAACATTTAAATTTGCTCAGGGTTGTTGCCACAATATACTTCCTTATTACCTTCGTATTTTCTAAATTAGTAATTAAACCAGGCATAGAAATAGGAATTTCTTGGAATCCTGCTCGGTAAAATTTTGATGATGGATCATCAGAACTAATGATAAATCGGTGATATGTCAAAATAATGTTTCAAGGAAAGAGGTTTTTCATGCCCCCATACATGTAATTTTACTTGATTAACTTTTTCGCAACTTTTTTATGTGTGAGCTGTAGTCCAGGTTATACGACATTAAACTTTTAGCACTTTTTCATAAATTCTTTCAACCGCAACATCTCCGATACGCATGCGATGTTATGCGTTTGCATTTTATACAATACATATACGGTCTGTATATAATATACATATGCTTGCAGGATATAAAGGTTTCATTTATCCTCACTCCTTATAAGAGAATACACGTCTATTGAAAAAAGAAAGCTAGGTTTCAGCTCACCTGACCGTACAGCTAGCAGCTGCAGTTCTAACCAACATGCTCAACAGCGGACATATAGGTCATCATTTGTTCAAAACTATTTTTTTAACAAGAAGAGGGGTTTAAAGAAAATATTTTATAAAAAGCTTGACAGTACAAATGATAAAAATGTAAACTGAAGAACAAAAAGAAAATGAAGTCCTTAAAAATCTCTTCGTGTATCTACATTTTTAGATTTTTACTGCCGTTATTCTCATATAATGAGCTAAGGGGGGAAATATGTAAAAAGATCTTTTCACAGATTTTTGATATTTTTGTTTCGTGCTTAACATATCCAGTACATTTACCGTGAAAATGAAAAGCCTAGGGAGCCTAGGACGTGACTAACGTGATACACCGTGATTATTTAATAATAATAATAATTGGCATCAGCACATAAAATTATAATTCCAGAATACTTGATTTTACCTAATTTCTTCTAATCTGTCTTCATTCTATACCTTTTAAACTTAAAACCCATGAAAACGTATATACAAAACTTTATTGTGAATAAAAGATTAAAATTCAAAACCTAATTAACATGGATAATAAACAACAAAGGATTTGAGTCTTTGTCATGTCCTCAAGTTTTCTAATCCCTTTATTTTTGCAACCTAAAGGAACGATTCTTTGATATTTCAAACTTTGAATACTTTATCGAACATAATTCAGTCATTGAAATATCTTCAGTCTACGACATTGGGTTACATAAATATAGGGAATATAAAATAAGAGTTTGTGGAAAAGACTCAATTCCTTTGAGATCTTCAATTCGAATTATTAATAATAATCTTTTCTACGTTTAACCAAATTGGAATCTGGACAACTTTTTGAAAATCTGCTCTAATCTTAAAGGTGAAAAGATGGTAGATCTCATTTTGGAAATACCGAGACAAGTATAGTTATCTGTGTTGAATACCGAGACAAGTATAGTTATCTGTGTTGAATACCGAGACAAGTATAGTTATTGGTGTTAAATACCGAGACAAGTATAGTTATTGGTGTTGAATACTGAGACAAGTAGAGTTATCTGTGTTGAATACCGAGACAAGTATAGTTATCTGTGTTGAATGTTTCAACTGAGATACTAGTAAAATCGTGTTCGAAACAATGCCGCAATGGAACAAAGACGAAATGAACGTCGTTATTCCATTCTCGTGTTTATTGTATAGAAGTTCTGGTTGTGAGCCTGTGTCTGGTATCTCTGGTATCTGGCAGAATGTGGTGTGGATACAGACCAGAGTGGAATACAAGTCATGCTACTATATCTTTCCTGGAGAAGGTGAATCTTATTTAAATCGAACCAAGCTCAACAGAGAAGAGAATTATATTTGCCACGGGGTTACCAGTTCGACATTGCTCGCCCATAATCCTTAAAGTCTTCAGCTATCCCATTGGTTTATAAACAACCATTTAAAAAAAATCTCATTAAGGATTCTAGAAATATCAAACTTTTTTATGATTGTATAAATGACGAAGCTTAGAAAACCTTTTCTGTAATTAGTAATTTGATGTTTAGGGCAAAAGTAAATATAGTTTTATTTGTTTTAACTTTGCGAGGAAAAGTATTTTTAGACTTTATAACATTATTTTTTTAGTTTGACTCCAGTTCGGGACCTTTAGATGCCAGAACAGGACTTTTCAGGGTAAAATATGATTTTGTAAAATATTTTTTTGAAATGATAACAATGAAACATGAGTAATTTGTTAAACACATATTTTCCGATTCTGTATTTGTACTTTTAAATTTATAAATAAAATACCTTAAAATTTTCAAAAAAATTGACACATTTTTGCTTGGGATTCAATATATTAACCACGTCTTTTGTTGTGTTGTATTGTATTGTATTGTATTGTATTGTATTGTATTGTATTGTATTGTATTGTATTGTATTGTATTGTATTGTATTGTATTGTATTGTATTGTATTGTATTGTATTGTATTGTATTGTATTGTATTGTATTGTATTGTATTGTATTGTATTGTATTGTATTGTATTGTATTGTATTGTATTATAGTCCCCTGTCTCCGGGCTCTATACCGTAACAGTAACAGCAGTTGTGGGAGGAATGCTTCCGTCCAAACCTGGAGATCTTCTCATGAATACATCTCCAGTCTACGGACAGATATTCATCAAACATAACGGTAAACAAATAAAATGAAATAAAACGAATTGAGTCTTTACCACAAACTCTGATCTTCTAATCCCTAATTCTATGCAACCAAATGTCGTAAACCATAGATAATTCAAACCATGAATTCTGTTGCATGAAATAATTAAAATTTGAAATATAAAAGGTTTACACCACCAGGTTGTAAAGTTAGTGGGATCAAAAAATTTGAATTTTGGCAAGGACTCAATTCCTTTGTATATGCAGTTTTGGGAGAAACTAGGGAATAAGAATAAAAGGAAGAGAAATGGCGCTGGTCTGGCATGAGAAAGCCAGGTGCACTGCTGTGCAGACAGATTCCTTATTAAACACGCACACTCTTTTGGTACAGACACACAACATGACTACAGTCAAGGAAAGTGCAGAAAAATTTCGTAAAATCATATTTACGCTTGAATTTAACGAGTAGTTTATTGTAAACTTTAATCAAAATATATTCTTTGCATGAATATTTGGCTTATAGCGTTGACTTAAATATATAAATAATATGTTACATGTATATTAAACTTATTTTTAAGTTAACAATTAACAATAAACAAATGTACTCTCCTAGACTGTACAAATACCGAAATTCTTCTGTACTGTATACAACTTTCGGTTCCTTATCACACACGCACATCCTTTTGGTACAGACACAAACACATGACGTTTCTGCCCCTTGGGAGAAACATAAACAAATTCGGTTCAGGGCTTGCTTAATTTTTCTTTATCTGTATGAAGAGGGTTGGCTCAAAACATTTTCTAAAAAATAATTCTACGTCAAGCTTCATATATTACTAGGTTTGTTTACGTTCCTCCAAAAAACTGCAGTACTCTTTTTGTAAATCAAAATAGTTTAGTTAGATTATTTCAAAGACTATCTCTCAACCACAGACTAGATATATTCAGACTGATAATCAGCTTTCATGGACTGGGCCAAGTAGGCCTATAGTCGTACCGACGCGACATGCTAAATTCCTACAAGATGTTTAGGACTGCCATCTAACAACCACTTGTTGAATTTAATACCCATTCAGGGGTTAGGTTTTTCAATTTTTGAAAAAACGAGAACTTTAAAAAAAATGCGAATTTAATCTACTTTTGATTTTGCAGGCGTGGTTGGTATTGATGGATCCGGAGAAGACAAGAGGATCGAAGAGACAAGTTATCTTCTGGTGAAAGAAGGAGAAGTAGGAGATATTACGGTCAGTCCTTTCAGACTTATATATATATATATAGGCTTTTAGTGCGCTTTACACTACTTTTTTAATATTATTCTTTCTTTTAGTTTTCTACCATTTTAATGTAATTTTTCCCCTGAACATTGATGAATAACACTATAATTCTATGGACTAATTATTAATTATTCAATCCTGATCTGTCATAAACATAAAACACCCCTAGCTGGGGCCATTGCAGGTCCCATTCACCAAACGCTGAGGATTATAAAATAGTTTTAATATCGTACAAATTAATTTATGACTTTTTTCCAGCTCAGGAACTGTAAAATGTTTGATTAAATATATATTTGTGGAGGTGAGTGTGGACCTGCGTGCTGGTGACACCCTGGAGCTTCAGGCTGGTCACGTGACCAAATCCAAGTACAGTAGAGAAGCGTACAATCACAAGACTAGTAGTATCCCTGGAGGTTTTCTAGAGGACATCACATTCTGTGTTATCTCTCATTTATAGAACATTATTATACAGTTTTCAGTATTCAATTCACAGAAAAAAAAATTATTTATTATTATATAACTTTTTGTGAAAATAAAATTTCTTCAAAAAATTACTTATTGTAACAAATAATTGTTCATAAAATCTGGTTCATACCCTATTAATCTGAAAAAGTTATCTAAATAATAAAGCACATAATTCTGAAAATATTAATGATTTAAAAAGAACTTCATGGTCTAAATTTATTTCGACTTGATTGAAATCAAATCATATTTTGTTTCAAATTAGCGTTCAGGATTCGGGGACAAATTAATCAAATTTATTCTTCGAGAGTAATAAAGGAGGGGGTGTGATGTCAATAATCCATAGCCTGTTAGGAACTACGGCTTGAATTTCATCTAAGCTGTAAAAAACTAAGGATTGAATTCTAATCTCCAAATAAATTCTCCGGAAGGGATCATAGGAAACTGTAAAAGCTAAGGATTGAATTTAAATCTCCGAATGGATTCTCTGGATGGGATCTATCTGAACTGTAGATATCGAATGGACTCTCTGGAGGGGATCCGTCTGAACTGTAAAATCTAAGGATTGAATTCAAATCTCCAAATGGATTCTCTAGTGGGGATCCATCTGAAATGTCAGGAACTAAGGATTGAATTATAATCTCCCAAGGGGATCAATCTGGACTTTACGAAACTATGGATTAAATTCTAGTCTCCGAATGGATTCTCTGAAGGGGATCCATCTCTGCTTTACGAGCTATAGGGTTGAATTCTAGTCTCCGAATGGATCCTATGAAGTGGATTCGTCTTCACTTTCTGGAACTAATGATTGAATTTTAATACCCGAATGAATTCTATGAAGCGGATCCATCTGTGCTGTAAGGAACTATGGATTAGATAATTAATCCCCGAATGGATTCTCTGGAGGGGATCCGTCTGAACTGTCAGGAACAAGAACTGCAGCGCCAGCAATATTCTTTCCCATCTCTGATACTGAATCAATTCTGAAATAAATCTGTGGTAATATTTTTCATTAAAGATATCCTATATTTTCATGAAAGATATTCAAGAATTCCGAGAAAGATGTCCGATATTTCTAAAGATATCCAAGATTTTCTAGAAAGATATCCATTTATGAAAGTCATCCAATATTTTCAAGAAAGATATCCAATATTTTCTAAAAAGATATCCGATATTTCCAAGAAAAATATCCAATATTTTTATGAAATTAATCAAGTATTTTCATGAAAGATATCCAATATTTTCGAGAAAATATCCAATATTTTCGAGAAATTAATTAAATATTTTCAGAAAGTTTAGATTTTTATCAAAAGTTGAATTATAAAGAATATTTACCCAAATTTTGCCTTCCTTCGTTCAATATTCTTCCTGTGAGTTATTTTCATCTCAATAATTTCATTAATTTCATCAACCTGGACAAATATATTTTCATTAATTTCATTAATTTCATCAACCTGGACAAATATATTTCCATTAATTTATTAATCTCATCAACCTGGACAAATATATTTTCATTAATTTTATTAATTTTATCAACCTGGACAAATATATTTTCATTGATTTTATTAATTTTATCAACCTGGACAAATATATTTTTATTAATTTCATCAACCTGGACAAATATATTTTCATTAATTGTATTGATTTCATCAACCTGGACAAATATAATTTTCATTAATTTCATTAATTTCATCAACCTGGACAAATATGTTTTCATTAATTTTATTAATTTCATTAATTTCATCAACCTGGACCAATATATTTTCATTAATTTTATTAATTTCATCAACCTGGACAAACATATTTGCATCTCAATAATCTCAATAATCAACCTGGACAAATATTTATTTAGATATCAATATCTCATTATAGAGAATCATGTGACGTGCCAATCCATCTAAGCAGTGATTTAATGTTTAAGTGTGAATGACATGGATTGTTGGGTCAACCGTACGATTACACAACAGAATATTATTATACTAAAATATAGGAATATTTTTCTTACTTTTTCATTTGAAAGATACTGTTTCATGACCAATGCTTTATTCCCTTGACTGTCTATATCACAATATCTGAAAAATATTTTGAACAATTTAGGGAAGAAGGATTAAAATGACGGAAAGGGGAAAAAATACGAAAGAAGGAAAAGAAATTGATCAAATGTTTCAAGATACAGAAAGTTAGACAGGCGGTAAATGAAAATTATGGACTATACAGTAAAAAAGAATATATGATGAATCATTGTTGAGGAAAATAGAAAACGTAAAATTTTGAAACGATTAAGAATACAGAAAAGGAATTGAAAATATTAAATTCCAAAGCACCGAAAAATCTCCCCCCCCCCCCCCCC